GTTCTGGATGTGCCACGTAAATGGAGTCATACAGATGTAGTCTTTTGTGTCTGGCTTCTGTGCTGAGAATAGGTCATTGTGAGGGGAAGGCAGAAGGAGGGGCTTGGGAGCGAGGTAGAGTTGGGGAAGGGAGACTGTGTCCTGTGCTCATGGGAGCTCCGAGTCAGCGCCGACAACAGGGTGGACACAGGTTCTGGGTGGAACCTGTTCCATTCCTGGATTTGGGTAGAGAGGGATACCATTTTTTACTAAATCTGTTTGGTTCCTGAGGTCTGGAAAGCAAATATAAAGAGTTCAGACAGCAAAGAATGCCAGCCTAATAACCCTAAAATTGTGTATTTGTTTCCAGCCTTTGAATTATGAAAGTTTGGGTAGCAAAGGATTTCTGTGCATCAGATGCTCAGATGTGCCTCCCAGCTCCCTTTACCTCACACCCCCATGCACACAACTCTCACTTATACCCCACCTTCCCAACTCCATGGGCGTGCCCCTGACTCACTGTTCATTCCTTCACCTTGTCATACCTACAACCCATCTCTCTCTCTTTCTTCCTTCTCCCTCCCTCCCTCCCTCCCTCCCTCCCTCCCTCCCTCCCTCCCTCCCTCCCTCCCTCCCTCCCTCCCTTCCTCCCTCCTTCCTTCCTTCCTTCCTTCCTTCTCCCTCTCCCTCCCTCCCTCTCTCTTTCTTTCTTTCTTTCTTTCTTTCTTTCTTTCTTTCTTTCTTTCTTTCTTTCTTTCTTTCTTTCTTTCTTTCTTTCTTTCTTTCTTTCTTTCTTTCTTTCTTTCCTTTCTCTCTCTCTCTCTTTCTTTCATTCCTTTGCTTACTTATACCTTCAGCTAACTTGTTCTGGGCCCCATCATGTACCAGGAGCTGAACTAGGTGCTATTGCTGCAGAGATGAATTAGCATTCATCCAGTCATATAGAGACAGATATTTAAATAGGCACTTAAAATACCTGGTGACAAGATCCCCAACAGACTGGACAGCATGTTCTGGGAGCACCTTGGGAGTGGATGGGGAAGAGGAGAGAGAGGAGGTGGCAGTGCTCATTTGCATCCAAAGAGCTGGCACATTGGCCCCCTACTTTGCAGTTCATGGATCTTTGTGCAGCCCTGTGTCACTGATGTCTGGTACCTCTCCAAATAACCAGAGTCCCACTAGGTCCATTTCAAAAATGAAAAGATGAAGGCCCCAAGAGACTCAGCAATTCCCTCAAGTTTGAAAGCAGCAGGGCTCACATGCAGGAAAGGGGGTGGTTTGCGCACAGTGGAATCATTTCTCACCAAGCAGATGGGTGTAGGCACCCTCTGAATGACGGGCTATCTCCCCCGATTCGCTGGGTTCCTGAGTGACTTCAGCTTTCTCCCTGCAGTGTGGTGGGGTGGCCCCTCTTCCTTCTCTTCTACGTAATGCAGTGCATTCTGACTCACAGTCTCTCTTGAAAGTGCTTTGTTAGATAAGACAACGGGACCAACAGGTTGTGACATGCAGCTGTCACAGCCGGGAGGTCCGATGGAAACATGCAAAGGTGAGGATGTTAGACAATAGACACTATCTTGTGTCACTCTCCACTCTTCCCTGGCAGAAAGAGGCCCCCTAGCATCATGGCTGAAGGCTGCTGTGGGGTCAGACCCCTAGGGTCTGAACCTCTGCTCTGCCAAATATTGCACATGACCTTGGACATGCTGCTGAGCCTATCCAGTGTTGTACCTCAAAGCTTGGTTCCTGGGCCAGAACATGGGTGCCACCTGGGAGCTTGTTGGCAGTGTTCCACCCTGCATCCACTTAATGGTGTCTGCAGTGGGACAAGGTCTCCCAGTGTTTCCCATGCTTACTAAAATAATAAAGCATGTCCCTATAAGCCTCAACTTTCTCAACTGTAAAATGGGAACAGAAATGCTTCTCTGAAAGTCAGTGTGAGGACTGAATGTATTTGAAACTCTTTGCTAGACAGAGGAGTGGTTCTGGTTTGCTCAGAACCAGAGAAGTTCCAGGGATGCAGGAATTTCAGTTTTAACATTAGGCAGAATTGTCAGCCTGCTCTCAGCTTGTGTCTGGCACACAGAGAGCTCCTTGGGAGCCATGGTATCAGGCCGTCATCAGGACATATAGGAAACATGTGGAAAGAGCCACAGGGGACTATTTGTGTTTGCACTGATGTTGTGCTGGACTGTGGTGTTTGGGGTTTCACTGTTGTCATTGTGGTTAACTCTTTCATGGTGACAACAGCCACAGCCATCACAGCTCCTGTTAAGCAAGCTCTGGATATGTGCTGGGAGCAATCCATGCACAATTGCCATCACAACCACTTCCTCCAAGTAAGGACTAATGTTCCCTCCAGTTGAAAAATGAGAAAATGGCTTCTCAAAGATATTAAGGGTTTTGCCCAAGGTCCTGACATTAGTAAGAGAAAGAGCCAAGGCTTCAGGCCTTTGTCTATTTGGCACCAACGGCTGGGCTTATAATGACATGGGCATACAGACCCCAAAGGGAGGCGCAATTTCCTCCATAGGCTCAGCTCTAAGAGCTGTTTGTAGACATCACTTAGAGAACAGTGGAGAATATTTTCAAGAGGACACTTCTATAACATTTCTATAATGTCTACCACCAGGTCCTGTACCTAGCAAGTGTATGGAAATGCCTGAAACTCTTTTTTTTCCAAAAATAAAGTTGCTTCCTTCAATTCAGCAGCAGCCCTTCTACACGTGACAGCCAGAGATGAGGACTTAATGAACAAGGCCTGTTTGTTTTTCCTTCTCTCTGGAACAGCTTAATCACAAGTGATTATTATTGGTGGCAACTGGTCATGTCTTTCATCTGGGTTATGAGGAAATCAATTATGGCGGCATGTTAAAGAAAAGTCAACAATAAAAAAGGGGTAAAGAAGTTCATGCAGGGAAGCGGGAGATATGGAAAGAGGAAGCTGCCCCCCCCCCGGGGATGAGGGAGAGAATGGATAAGAAAAGGGAGGGATGGTGAAGAGAAATATACCACTCTGTGGTTTGAATTCTTCTAAGTTTGGAAGATGAATGAGGAATGAATCACATTATTCTCTCTCTCTCTCTCTTTTTTTTTTTTTAGCCAGAGTGGTACCAGGAATCTTAGGTTGCCAGTGTCAGAAAAGCTAATTCAAATTGGCTTAAATAAAAAGAGACCGTTATTTGGGACATTTGATCACAACATGGGTATTTGTCTTCAGGTATGGCTTGAACAAGATCCTCAACAGAAATGTCAGAACTTGGTGACTCCATCTTTTAGCTTCACCTTTGGCTTCCTTCTCAGGATAGTATGTGGGGTGGCAGAATGGCTGCCAGAAATTATGGCTGAATGTCCTTCCAGATTCAAGTCTAACAGTAAGAGAAATTGTCTTTTCCTAGTTGTTTTCTCCACAAATCCTGAAAGTCAGTCTGTATAGAGCAGGTTAGGACATATTCCTACCCTAGAACTAATTGCTGACGTTGTGAGAAGTGGATGAGCTAATTGGCTTGACTGCAAGAGGGGAAAGGATGGCTCTCAGTGGAAATTCACCATTATCAGGAAAGGAAGAAAGGATGATCAGTGGTCAGGATAACAAATGCCTATGATGTGGCCAAGGGAGGTTTTGCTTCTTTAAGAAAGGGTACCTGAAAAAAAGGATTTAGGTGCATAGAGTGAGGCCGGTATCTTAGCTATAGTTGGGACTGGCAAGAAACAAAATAAAACATAACAACAACAAAACGATGCTCCTGTGTCACCTCAGGCAATCTGTAATTGCTAACAACCCTGTCTGGAAGCCTTGAGTCAGATGCACTCACCTGCAGGTTGACAGAGCACTTGGGTGAAGCCTGCTTCCACCTTTGCTATGTCCTTGCATAAAAATAAGGGCCTGAATCTCAGCAGGTGTTACTTCTTGGCCAGCTCTGCTAATGATCCAGAAAGCCATGCTGGGGCCAAGAGCATCAATCATCGTGTGGTTTTCAATAATGCAGAGGATGTTGGTCTGTCCTAAACTAGTTGCAACTGTAGTCAAGGAATACATCTCTCCATACATTTGTGCATTATCTCCTCCAGCATTGTAGAAGGAGAACTTGGCTCTGGATGATGAACTAAAACAAGGTCTGGAGTATCCAGGTAGACATGAAATTTTTAACCTTATTATTCAGGGTTAGGATACCAACTGACTAAGTGATATAGCCAAGAGTTACATGCTTTACAGCAGGGGTGTCAAACTCATTTTCACTGGGGACCACGTCAGCCTCGTGATTGTCTTCAAAGGGCTGAATGTAATTTTAGGACTGTAAAAATGTAACTACTCCTTAGCTAGGGGCAAGGAGCTCAGTGTTGCAGCTGGGTAGAAACAAGGTGCCAGGCTGGATAGAACAAGGTGGAGGGCCAGATTCGGCCCGTGAGCCTTGTGTTTGCCACCTGTGCTTTATAGTATCTTCAGTGTAGGATGCCCTCTGGGCACAGATCAAAATTCCAAAGGAAAGAGCAGGGCTGGCTCACAGGGAACCCCAATGTACCCAAAGTTCCAGGTCTCCTCCCTGCTCCCTTGCTGGGAGACACTAATGCTTCATTTAACAGAGGACTTATTTGGAATAAAATTGACCTAGGAATTACATCCAGACCCCTTTCCATGATCTACAGGATACTCACCCTGTGATATGGTCTCTGTTTATTGTCCTAACTCATCTCTTACTGCTCTCCTTGAAATGTCAGCTGTTCTGACCTCTGTTCTGTTCCCTGAACTTGCTAAACTCTTTCGTATCCTTGCGCATGCTGTTCCTTCTGCATGGATGGTTTTCCTTACCTACACTCCACCTCTCAGCTTTTCTTGGCTGACTTTTTCTTGGCATTCTTTTGAGTAGCACCAATGTAGCCTACTAACTGATCTAAAATGGAACTCCTCTAAATTCCATCCCACTTCTGACCTATTAAATCATCTGCTTTCCTGGAAACTATTTTATGTATTGATTTCCTTTTTCCTTGTCTATCTCCTCCCACAAGAATGGAAACTTCATTCAATGTGGATACCCCTGGGAGGTCAGGTTATTCTCAGGGTTCTGTCCAGGTGCCATAGAGGAGCATAGGGCTCTACCCCATGATGTACAGTCCCTTTCCATGATATTGGAAAGCCAGGCCTTCAGTCTGTGCCCGCATATTCCTACAGCTTCTCAGAGTCCTGTGGACAACAACTGAGGAGACAAGCCATGCAAAAAACATCTAGGAAAAAAGAGAAAAACAGAAACATTAAAAGCAGGGACCTTCACTTTGGTATCTTCTTCCCTAGATTCACTTCCCCCAAACAATGCCTGGCATGTGACTGAGTTTGTTAAATTACAGAATGAATGAAAAGCAATCAGTAGATGAATGTTTCTTTCTAGAGTAGTACATCTGGCAGGTTTGCTCAAATACATAAAGCACTAGTCTACCTTTCTGCCCACTGGCAGACTTACAGACTTAGAATACTATTCCTAGTTTCATTACCAAGGTAGTAGCCCAGTACCATGCACAGTTTGGAGGAGAACGCAGAAGGGTGTGTGTGATGCTCTGCCCTCCAGGACTCCAGTCTGAGGGCGGGCAAGATATGTGCCTCTCAGCAGCTAGTCAACCATACACAAGTCAGGGCAGAGAGATGGGAGGTAAAGACAAAAGTGTTGGAAATTCAGAAGGCAAAGAATAAGTAGGAAGTGGGACACTAAGACATCCATGATGATTGTGGGACTTGGGGCTTGACAAGGTCAAGGCTACAATTACCACCACTATTAACATCAACCCAAGCTGACCGAGTGCCTCCTATATGCCAAGTACTTCATGTGCATTATCTCTGGAAATATGTACAGTGACTTTCTAAGCTGGTGGCTGTTACTATTATTCCAATTTTTCAGATGGGGTAATAGAGACATAAGTTAAATAACTCACTTGCACTAAGAAGCAGATCCCAGGCAGGCTGTCAGCAAAGACCGTGTCCCTCATACAAACCCCACACTCCTTATAGAACATATTTCATACCTGATGGCATCATGACACAGCAAAGAAAGTGCCAGATTAGGAGGCAAGAGGCCCTGCATCTGTTCATATGGTACCACTGATTTGGATCAAATCATTCAAGGTTCTGGGGCCTCAGTTTCCTCATCATGAAAATAGAGAGATTGGACTTAGCTATGGGAAAATACATATTCTAAGTAAGCCTTCCTTACTAAGTAAGGCTCCTTCCTAGGGCTGTGATTCAGTGGGGATGAAGTGTAGCCTAGAAATCTATAAGCATAAAAAATTCCCCAAGTGAGCTGATGCACAGCTACAGGGTTGGATAGTGAAGGCTTAGATTAGTGTTTTCAACCCTGGCTTCACATTACACTCACCCAGGGTATAAAAAAATCCTGGACCCCGTCCCAGACTAACTGAATTGGCATCTTTAGGGATGAGGTTGGCAGGGGTAGGAGAGCATCAGCTTTAAAGTTTAAAGACCATTAAGTTCTTGAAATGTGGCTAGTGTGATTGAGAAACCAAATATTTACTTTTAGTTATTACTTTATCTTTAAATAGTCACATGTGGCCAGTAGGTGCTATGTTGGAATGTGGTTGAAGGCTTGGTAGCTCTGAAACTGAAACTCAGTTTCAGTTGAACTGGCATGGGGCACAAGCACTGGTATTTTTAAATAACTTTCCAAGATGTTTTCTTGTGCAGCCAGGAACGAGAGCCACTGTTGTGTGTAAAGAAACAGTAGATGACATTTTGCAATAACTGAGCTATTGTCAGCATGGGGCCACATGGATTTTAGGCAGATCACTTAACCTCTCTCCCTCTGTCTTTATGAGAAATGCCAGCCATGAGTGTTACAACCTCTTGGCGAGTTAGAATCAGAGATAATGGGTGTCGGTGTCCTGTATAGCCTTCATGAATGAGTAAATGAAAGTTGGTAACAGACAGCATTAAACATCAGGCTTTGATACCCATGGAGTCAGGTCTCACCCTGAAGATTCAGTCAAGCTCTGGAACATTCTAGAACATTGGAGCGATACCTCTGTCATGTGGGATTGAAACAGAGTTGAGAGCAGACACCCGGAATCCCACACTTCCCTGACTCCCTCGCTCTGTGTTTAAAACAGTTTGTTCTGTGTTCTGCAGAGTACTGAGCATGGGGAGAGAACTGCTTTTGCTTCAGAACCAAAGTGGGTGTCTGAAATCTGTTCCTCTCCCGATGCTTCATGCTACTGGAGAGGCTGGTGCCAGAGGTGTTCAGAAACTGATCTACAGAATCCGAAAAGGACAGGCTGAGTGGCAGCAGGAAGAGGTTAAGTACAGGAGGGACGGCCTCTGCTATCCAGGCAGGAAGCAGGAAGAATGTTCAGGGCTCCGAAAGAAGGGACCATTTGGCATATCAGCTGCCAGGCTCTGGGAATGTGGCCAAATTCCCCCATCACCTCCTGCCAGTCCACAAAACTACCTTAGAAAAACCCACAGCTAAACGTGAGCCTCTTCAGTGCCTCGCTGTGCAATTCTGTTTTGCAAATAACTCTTGCTTCCATCCCTTCAAGGGGATTACAATGCCTTTGTTGCACAGCGCTTTCTGAAGTTTGTTTCAGATGTTGGTGGAAGTGAAAGTGGTGTAAGGTAGCTGTGTGAGGTCCATGAAGGACCTGAGTGATAGTTTCTCTCCAAAGCATTATTCGTCACTGCAAGAAAAGACAGTTCCTTCTCTGCATGCAGCTTCCTTGGGCGCAGGGTGAGTGGGCTGGTTTTCAGGGGGTGGGTCTGTAAAACTGGCATGCCAATAGATCTGGTGATGCTAGTTTCTGAAATAGGCTAAGGATCAACTTAGGTTTCTGTGTGTCCCTGTGGTCTGGAGGACAGCTGATGTGGAGAGGAGCCCCCAAGCTGTTGGAGTCCGCATGGACTAAATACATACATACATACATACATACATACATACATACATACAAACGGAACCTCAGATACTGAATTCTTCCCTTTCAGTTTATGTTTAAACCAAGGACATTCTTGTTAAGCTTCATTCACACATTCATTCACTCATGCATTTCCTCACCCTCCATTAAGTGATGTGTCATGTGCCAAACCTTCTGCCAGGTTCTGGGGACAGAGATGAGGGCAGCAAAATCTCTGCCCTTGAGCCATTCAGTCTTGTTGAGGATGATTTAAAATGATTAGTCAATCCAAGAACATTGGATTTCTCCAAAAGCTACTGTAGGGAAAAAGATAATTATCCAAAGTCTTTAAATCTGTTTTCCACTTTAATTGATTTAATTAGGTAAAATTCATAGAACTGTAATGTTGGAAGGGGCCCAGAAGGCATTTATTCCTGTTTTTTCTCTCTGCCTTCAAGCCACACTGCACTCAAATTATCCCCCCAACCCATGCATTTTTGAAAAGGGGAGTGTTTTGAAGAACTATAGCTTTTGGGCCATTCAGATAAAGCTTCCCATTCAGTGAGAGCCTACAGGAAATACTATGCAGACTTTTTAAAAGAATTGAGGTGCACTGCTACAACGTATTGTTCTGAAAGAACTCAGCACACACAATGGAATCCCCATGGCTGTACTACTAAGTTTGTGTTAAGTGCACGTGGTAAATACAGAATACAAATGAAAGCTTGGCTGCATTACGATAAGGACCCTTGGAGAATTCTTTCAGTTTCCAGAAAGAAATATATCTAGCATTTGTGAAGCCCTGTTTTGTTATAACACAGAGGCATACCGTCTGTTTCGCTGGCATTTTTGCACCATTGTTTAAGCATCTGCCATAGGCAGATCTTCAGTGATCCCAAGATGTCTGTGGTTCGTGTTGGAAAGGGTGGTGGATGTGTATTCACAGTCTGAATTTGGCTACTCACTAGTTGTGACCATTTTGAGCCTTTTTCCCCCCTGTTAATGATACAGCAAACTTGCAGGATCATCATAGAGATTTGACAGGTCAAGGGGTACAAAGGTAATTTGTAAATTGTACCACCTGCCTTTTCTAAATGGAAGTTTGTTCTCATGATTAGATCACAGACTTGGGGAGATGTGAGGACTATTAGAAGCCCTTCAACCCCACCCAAGTTACCTTTCCAGAGTAAGAGCATTCAGCAGCCCCCCCTAGTGCTCAAAATAAGGTCTACGCTCTTGGAAATAACCCCTGAGGCCATACATAATGGGGTTCCTGCCAAGCCGTTCAGCATCATCTCATCCCCTCTATTTCACAAACCATAATGCATTTATCTCCAATTCATGGAATAGTCAACATCTATTCTCCAGGCTCCTCTGACTCCAGTGTCCACTCCTTCCCCCTCTTCCACACCTGGATTCTCTTCAACATCCTCTTATGTCTCTCTCAGCCCCCAGATTATGGAAGTTGCCTTTCCTCAGACAAGCCATAGGCAATGTCTGTGTCTGTCGTATATACTATTATTTCTCCAAGCTTTTAAATGATGCTGCATTTTTAGGTGCTCACCAAATATTTGTTGATTCAGCATATAGATGTCCACTCAGCATTTATTACACTCTATACTAGACAGGAGTCTAGAATACAAGCGACAGAACTACTCACATTGGCTCAGGTGAATGTGGGAATGTGTTGGCTTATAAACCAACAGGTCCAGAGTAAATGACTTCAGGCACAGCAAACCCCAGGTGGTCCAAATGTGTCATCAGGTATCTGTCTCTATTTACTGATCTTGTTTTGTCTCTGTTGGCCTCATTTTCCAGTTATGAGCCTGGGGGCCAGAAAGGGTTCATTCTGTTGGAAACATGGACTCAAAAGGGCAGGATGAATGGGATGAGCTAGAGGGAAATGAGGAGAATACACGATGGGATGGCAAAAATAACAGATGGTCTCCACTATACCAGGGTGCAGGCTGTAAGTTCAGGGCCCCTCTCACCTTTGTATTTCCAGTATCTGTTCCAGGGTGGGGCATATAGTAGGTGCTCAGGAATGTTTGAGAATGAATAGATAGGTGATTTATTTTCCTTCGCTTCTAGGAAGAAGCTTCTTTGAGCCTATAAAGACAGATGGTGCTACATAAACTGCCTTCTGCCTCATCCTGTTTTTCTTTTTTTTTAACCTGTTGGCAGGATCCGACGTCTACCTTCTTCCAATTTGGAGCGTCCATCCAGCAACAAGCCACGGTCATGCTGAAGATCATGCAGGATTACGACTGGCATGTCTTCTCCCTGGTGACCACCATCTTCCCTGGCTACAGGGACTTCATCAGTTTCATTAAGACCA